TATGTGATTCAGCAGATGATCCTCATGCCATATCCTTTTAGAGCTTATAATTCCATCAAAATTTCAAAGAAACAATCTCATCAACCGTGATTTTCCTACGGAGAATGCAATGGACACTAATTTTATAAGAAAGTAGTTGTCCTTCTCAGATGAGAGTAATGCAGTTGCAACTTTGCTTTCCAGGTCATACTTTACGTCAACAAAGTGGGGCCCTACTTCAACCCCCATGAGACATATCACTACTACCAACTACCCGTCTGTCGACCCAAGATAGTAAGTGTTGTAATCGTTATCATTGCCCACAGAACAGTGATAATTTTGTAGGAAATCAGTCTTATAACCATGTGGCAAGTGTTGCATACCATTATTTTTTATAATTTTCATTAATTTAAAAATTATTATCAACATTATTCTTATCATCATTATTACTCTTGAAATAGTATTAACTATCACATGGCTAATAAACACTTACTGAGAGATACTTTATCACGATATGAGTCAGTGTTCCAGCTGTTGGATGGGACTCTTGCACACTTGACAATAATATGGACAATTGCTAGTGTACAGCCATCCTTGCCAGGCTTTACCAAAGATTTTACTTATAGTTATTAGTTAATATCATTAGTATTATTACCCTTGTCAGTTTTATGATATAGGATAGAAATTTATATAATTTTGTATTTTTAAATATTAAATCCCCTAAAATATGTTTTAACCATATTTTACCTACGATTGATAATTTGAGAGATGCATTCCCGTTTTCACTTGCGTAATTTTTAGAGAGGAAGGGAGGGATGGGTAATTCTGTGTTAAAGAGGTCATGAAGTGGGTTTCATCATCTCTTTACTGCACCCCCTAGATTGAGCACAAGAGCCTGACCCTTGGCGAAGTCCTGGATGGAGATCGCATGGCCAAGTCTGACATCAGGATCAAGTTCAAAGGTGAGAATCAGTTTAGAAAGTTGGTTGGTATGTATTTCCTGAAGTGTGCCTGGGGGGGGACACACATATGAACATACACACGCACGCACGGGCGCACTCACACACGCACTCGCACTCACACACGCACTCGCACTCGCACTCGCACTCGCACACGGACGCACGCACGCACACGCACACACACGCACACACACGCACACACACAAACACACACACACACACACACACACACACACACACACACACACACACACACACACACACACACACACACACACACACACACACACACACACACACACACACATACTCTCTCCCTCTCCCTCTCCCCCTCTCTCCCTCTCTTTCTCTCTTTCTCTTTCTCTCTTTCTCTCTTTCTCTCTTTCTCTCTTTTTATTCTCTCTCATTTTCTTTCCTGCTCTTACATCTTGCTTGCATCTTTTAGTGTAGACTAAATACTTCCACAGACAAGTGCTCATTAAATCTTACACCTGCCAGAAAGTTTGTGCTAATGGGCAGCAGGTAGTCATTAGTGTGTGAGTTTTCAGGATACTGATATTACTAGATTGGAAAAATTAATACTGATTAAATGTATAATAATTAAAAACGAAGAATATTTAAATGCAGATTGCATTTAGAAGATTAGATTTGTGGTTACACTTTTTAGTATTAACTTCTTTCCAATGTCTAAGTTTGTCCATAAGTCAGTGCAAGAATAATAATAGTATGGAACATGTTATTATTTATGTCATTTTAATTTTTTTTTTCATAATATTCAACTACTTGTAATGCAACCTATGCCTCCAGTCACAGCAGCCAAGAATAAGATCCTAAGCACTCATTTATCAATGGAAATAATCCAAAGCCCCTTCTTAAATGCCCACCGAGGCTAATCATTTTGCAAGAGCTTCATGCACTTGTGAAGAGTCATTCCCGTCACCCAGGCCTTCAGCCGAAATTCTCACGATGGCAAGTTCCCGTCACCTACCTCTCAAAGCAAATTTTTTCATGGTGGGTTGGTCTCGTCATCCACGTCATAGGGGTTAAGAGCTCAAAATCAGTTGTGTCTTGGCTGTCTTTATTTCTCTTTATTATTATCTATCTTATGTCTACTGTCAACACTTACCTTTGGGTGGATTTGCATCAGCCATTATTAATTAATGAGTCTGGACAGATACAGAATAACAACTAATAAACAAATGAACAACTAATAAACAAGTGGAAAAAGAGAAAACAATGTATTCAATGTTATATTCTACACCAGTAGAAGAAATAGATTTAGATCAAAGAAACTAGAAATGCAAATACAAACACAAGAATTTGCTGATTCAAAAAATGGTGTATCAGTCCACATCTTTATTCCCTTCCCTTCCCCTTTCTTCCCAGAGAACATGCAAAACCGAAAGCTGTGTGACCTGGTGTTATCGGAGGAGGAGGTGCAATACCTTCGGGAGGCCATCGAAGAACACTACTACTACGAATTTGTGGTCGACGATATCCCAGTGCGAGACTTCATTGGTCATCTGGAGGAATCGGGCTTTGTCCCCCACACCCACAAAGTATACCTGTGGACACACCAGCACTTCAACATTTATTATAATGATAATAAGGTGAGTTCTCAAGACGGCCTGTTGGATGTTGTTTCCATGGGTGAAGCAGATTTTATATCAGGTATTTGTGAAGTCAGGAATTGCATATTGTTAGAGAGAAGTGTTGTAGCAGTTCTTGGCTGATGGTTGCTTCCTTAAATACTTTTCTTGATATATGTTTGCCAATGGTCCCCAGATCATCTATGTAAATGCAACGAAGGAGCATGCCCCTATTTCCCTGGACGATGTAGAACCACCACTCAACATACAGCCTACATATTCTGTAACTTGGATTCCTACTAAGTAAGTTTACTTTACTGTGTTTGTCAGACATTTTATTTATTATTAGAATATTTTATTACTTTTGTTTATGCCAGACTAATCTAATGTAGCTTTTGTGTCAAAAGTTATTTAGGTTATTGGAAAAATATCTCCATGATTTGTTTTGTCCCTCAAAGATTTGAGATTGCATTTACACAGACTCACCCACTCGGGCTTCCCTCAGAATTGCATATGCCGACCGGGGGCGTCTTATCCAGGACAACAGCTTCTTCCCACGCAGTCTAGAGATCCACTGGCTTTCCATCATCAACTCTATGGTGCTTGTGTTTCTCCTCATAGGCTTTGTGGTTATTATCCTGGTAAGTCTTGATAAACTGGAAGAATTTCAAGATGTGAATGAGCTTGTCTTTGTATCCTGCTTAGTTATTTATTTATTTACTCTTTAGTTATGGTTATTAAGATTTACCATTTTGATTGTTATTGTTGATGTTGTTGTTATTACTGGTTGTATATTGGAAAGAATTAAGGAAAGTAAAGTTATTATCATTTGCTAAGAAATATTAAAGCATTTATGAATTAGCTCAAGACTATGTTCCTGGCTTACTCAATATTTCTTTCCTCCTCTCCCTCCTTGTGGTGATATAGACCCGAGTGTTGCGGAATGACTTTGCACGCTACAACATTGACGAGGAGGGCCGAGACGACATAGACAGTGATGAGTATGGTTGGAAAATCATCCACACTGATGTCTTCCGGTTCCCACAGCATAAGAGCCTGTTTTCATCCATTCTAGGTGAGAAGTAAAACATTTTGTAAGTGTTTTAATGGGGGGTGAATTGATTCAATGATTATGTATCCTATTTTTGTTTGATTACCAATTTGCTGATTCATTTTATTGTTAAATAGTTATTTATTTTATATTTCGTAATCTAGAAACCAGTCTTATAGCTAAGTATTTGCAGGTGTTGGATGTCAGTTCCTGGCAGTGGCAGTGGGGATCATCGGTATGGCTCTGCTGGGCATGTTCAACGTCCACCGACATGGCTCTATGAACAGTGCAGCTATCTTCCTGTATGCCCTTGCATCAGTCATTGCAGGATACGTTTCCTCATCCAACTTCAGAATGATGGGGGGCACCAAGTGGGTGTCCAACATCAATTTGACAACAGTGCTCTTCGCAGGTGCAGTGGTTTAGGAGTTTGGATGATTGTGAATGGTTGAGTAGAGAGAGAGAATGGGTGAGTGAGTGAGAGTGAGAGTGAGTGAGTTCACTGACTGGTAACGTGGGATTCTGAAACTAACGAATATGTATAGTTTACAAACTGCAATACCTGGAATTGGTATATTTCATGTTTAGTTAACTGAGAAGAGCACACCAGAAGCAGTCTCTTATATCAGTTGAATCATTTGCAGGCCCATTCTTCTTGATCTGGAGCATTCAGAATACAGTCGCTTGGGCCTACCACTCCACCCAAGCCCTCCCCTTCACTACCATCATCCTCTTGCTGCTCATGTGGATCTTCGGTGAGTCTCTGAGCCTTCCGATTTTGGATGCTTGTGTGCCTTTTGTGTTCGGGAGAGTTTATATTGATAGTGAGATTTTAGTCCATGAAAAGTGAATTATATGCATATGAGCATTGGGGTTGTAAATATGTTTTTCATTGGTGCATGTAAAAGTGGTTTATGTATAAATTGGTTTTGTTGTAGTAATAGAAAATAGTTGAAGTTGAAGGTTGGAAATCCCTTTGTCCCAGAAAAGAGAGAGTAATGTCTTGAAGAAATTTGATCATAAGGATCAGTTCTGTTTTCCAATGCCAAATCTGAAGATGTATCCCCTTGCAGTGGGCTACCCGCTCACCATTTTTGGAGGAATCCTGGGAAAGAACGGCCACGTAGAGTACAACTTCCCCTGCCGGACGAAGAACATTGCACGGGAGATACCTTCAGGTCCCTGGTACCGATCCTCCTGGGCACACTGTGCTGTTGGTGGCTTCCTGCCTTTCAGGTAAGCTCCCTCGCCTTTTGATTTGCATGCTATGCTTTATGTCTTCATTTTTTCATCTGCATTGATAATTTATCTTGTTTTTCTCCTCTTTTTCTTAGTTTCTTCTTTTTCCTTTTCATCTTCTTCCTTTTCTCTTTATTCTTTATTTCTTATTATTATTCACTTCTTTTTGTCTTATTTGTTATTTTTGTTGTATTTTCCAGCACTAAATCTGTGCCTCTTTTCCCACCAGTGCCATTAGCGTGGAAATGTACTACATCTTCTCGACACTTTGGGGCCGCGAGCAGTACACCTTGTACGGGATCCTTGGCGTGGTATTCATCATCCTCCTGAGTGTGACTGCCTGTGTGTCCGTGGCCCTCACCTACTTCCAGCTGGCTGCTGAGGACTACAGGTGGTGGTGGAGATCCATCTTCAGTGCTGGGTGAGTGTCAGGTTTTCCTAGTGGGGCCCCAAAGCAGGGTGAAGTAATTATTATTATTACTCTTGTTATTCTAACTCTTATTTTATTGTTCTTCTTCTTCTTATTATTATTATTTTTATTATTATTTATTTTATTTTTTAAAAGGTTATTTATCCTTATTACTACTCTAGTTATTCTAACTCTTATTTTATTGTTATTCTAATTATTATTATTATTATTATTATTATTATTATTATTACTGTTATTTAGGGGGGGGGGGGGGGCATTGGTCCTTAACTTAGCCATTTCTAGGTATAAATAAACTCATCAACAGTTTGATTCCCTTGTTGCTGCAGGACTTTGTGTGTGTGTGATATTTTGTTTCTTATATTTCAAGGGTAATTATAGAATATTAATTTAAATGGCTATATAATAGGCAACTTTCAATCTATCTCCGACCAGATGTACTAATTACATCTGGCTTTTGCAGATCTACTGGTGGCTTCGTCCTGATGTATTGCGTGTTCTACTACCTAAAGCGCTCAAATATGTCAGGTGGCTTGCAGACCATAGAGTTTGTGGGCTGGTCGCTTCTTACCTGCTATGTATTTTTCCTTACCCTTGGCACGGTCTCTTTTCTTGCCTCCCTCACCTTTGTCAAGTACATTTACCGTAACATCAAGATGGATTAAGAAGGGTGGTTTTATTTCATTTCATTTTCTCTCTTTGTGTTAAATGATGTAGACCCTCATTGAGGGAAAAGATTGGTGTATTAGGAAAAGAGAGAGAGTGTCTTATTCAAGAGGAATGCAAGTAGCTTGTTAAGCCAATACCATAGGAATGAATACGGTGTATTGTGGGTCAGACTGATGCGAAGGTGAATTCGATCTTTAGATTTAAGGTGAAGTAGAGAGCAGAGGAAGTAGCATTACAGCAGATTGTATTTATTACCAGATTTTGCTCAGTAAAGAGGCATTGATGCTATTTTTATGAGGATGACGTAATTGAGGTTTCCTTAAGTACAAGGAGTACGTGCTGCTCTGTAGATGGAAACTCCCCCCTCACTTGAAGGCTTGTGAATTATAAAGTTTAGTTAGGCTGACTGCATTCATGGGCCTGGTGAGGCTATGGGAACCAAAGGACTTCTGGATGATACTTATTTATTATCATTTCTTTTCATCCAGTCCTTCCTTTGTAATTTTTTTTTTTCTTCTTACTATCCTTTAAGAAAAGGAAGCTCTTGTGAACAGCGGTGAGAGAGAGAGGGAGATTGTCCTTCTCTCTCTCAGTGCCAGTCTTTCTACCTGGGAATTTGGATAATGCTGAATGCTTGCTGAAGGACCAAGTGCTAAGCCTAGTGCCTTATAACACTTCTAGGGGTCTGAACAGTAACAATTCTCAAACTGTTAGTTGACTGACGATGACAAGAAAAATGCTTGGATGCTGCCCCCTTTCCATCAGGGTCCTTTGTATCAGATTGATACATTAGTTTGGACTGCAAGAGGAGGTTTTATATCTTTTTAACTGTCTGAATGTCTGTGTGTCTGTCTCTGTCTTGCTCTTGTCAGTCTACCTCTATGTTAGGCTGTGTTATCTAAATGTGAGGGCCGTATCTTCTAGGCGTAGACAGAATATGACATAGTTTAAGTAGTTAGGGTAATAGAAAATGTCAATTCAGTTTTTGCCAAAGACACAAAACACCACATGCACATTTCTGAAAAGGTATTGGATGCTTTGAAACATTATAGTACTAGTGTGTGTCATATCTCTTCATCCTTTTTATTTTTTCTTAAAATGGATTTAGATCCTATGGATAAAGACTGTATTAGACTTCACATTGTGTGTATATGTAGCTATTTTAAACTAAAGTCTGTACTAAGCATGTATCTGATTGATAGGAAGGCAGAGTGTTTGGCATAGTAATATTTTTTCCATAAATAGTCCTGTATACTGGCCAGTTACCAAAACTTACATTGTTGTTTGATACAGAAAACATTGCATTAACAAAGTCTACTATGCCTGTTGTGTTGTACAAAGCAGTTAGCAGTTAAATAGAGAATAGAAAGTGATTATTAATGAATAGGAATCTCTGATTTAGTTATTTTATGCTATTCATTAAACACATAAGAATTCACCAGGTAATTTACATCACAGGAAAGTGATAGAACAATTTTTTTTAAAAGAGCATTAGTATATGTCTCCACCAATTTTTGTACAAATCAAAATATTTTTTTGTATTTGTCCTGGAAAGATATTTAGTTGAATAATAGGAATTAAGAATGATGGTGAAAACAAAGGAAAATTTTAAAATACTGACATCTGAATTGTGTTGAGTAAAAATCCCTTTTTTTCTAATTGTATTTATTATTGTAATCATCAGTGTTACTGCAGTTATGATCATCATCATTTCCATTTTTACTTTGTTTTCTTTGTTTTTTTTCCCCTCTAAGCAGTCTCTACTTCTATCAGTTGAGCAGAATTTAACCATAGTCTGTTCTATTTCTCTGTAAAGTCTTATCAGGTTGTAAACATTTATCACTCCCCACACTCTTAACCATAAACCTCCCCACCCATACACCCTTAAACAATCTCTCTCTCTCTCTCTCTCTCTCTCTCTCTCTCTCTCTCTCTCTCTCTCTCTCTCTCTCTCTCTCTCTCTCTCTCTCTCTCTCTCTCTCTTCTTCTCTTTCTCTCCCCCCCCCCACCCCGGGGGGAGTGACTATGTGCAATCATGCACATAGTCACTTTTGCTCTCACCCTTACCTCCCCACACACACACACACACTTTCTCTCTTTCTCCCTCTCTCCTTTTCTCAGTGCCCTTCTCTCCATCTTTCCCTTTCTCATCCTCCTCTCTCCCCTTCTCATACCTCCCTCTGTCATCCTCTCTCACTTTCCCTCTCCCTTTAATCACACTCTTGTCTCTCTCTCTCCTCTCCCCTCTTCCCCTGTTCTCCCTTCCTTCTCCCCTTCTCTTCCCTCCTTTTCTCTCTCTTCTAAAAGATTACCATTATGTGTTATATATAGGTTGATATGCTTCTTCAACAGTTTATTTCAATGTTAGGTTGCAGTTGTTGTGTAATGACTCATAGTTGTTAAAAGGGATATATTGCTCATGTGTCATTTACATGTACAGAATGAGAGGAACTTTTGCTTGTGTGTGTGTGTGCGCTAGCTTATGTGAATATTATAGATATATCTTATATTTAGTAGTATAGTATTACTAAAAGGAAAAAGTTTGGCATGTGTGACATATGTGTATATGGGGTACAAGATGTAGTGATAATCTTATCCATTTGCTTTTTTTTTTTTTTTTTTTTTTTTTTTTTTTTTTTTTTTTTTTTTTTAGTTTTTTAGTTGTTTTTTTTTTTTTTAGTTAAGGAAATTTAATGCTTTATTTAAGAGGCTTCTCTGGCACTTTAAATCCTGACATGATTATCAAAATGATTGTCTGCAAATCATGTTTAAAGTGATCTTTATTCAATCATTCTAAAGTGTGTGCAAATTGATAATGATAGAAAGGCCTTGTTACTATAATGCTTTTTTCTTTTGATTTTAAGATATTTGTGTATTTTGTTGATTGTTGTTTTCAGATTTTATGATACGTGTATTTTAGGAGGGAAATAGTCACATCTTGAGCAATGATTTAGAAAAAAAAAGAACAGATTTACATGAACTCTTGAAATTAGTTAAGAAATATCCCAGTTATTATACTGTAGAAAGATATTTTATGATTTGTAAACAGTATGTGACTGAAATTTCTGCCGAAAGTTATCACAGCGAGTGAAAATATAAATTCAGTTTTGTTTCTATACCCTGAAAGAAACTAAGAATTAACAGTAGTGGAAGGTATAGCTAATTCGCTCCCTCTTTTTCAAATAAAAGATTAGGAAAGAGAATGCCATTTTAAATTTTATATAATTTCTCATTAGGTTGTGGGCATTATCCTGTGTAATTTGATATAATTCTTTAAGTTCACTTTGTTGTTTGCAGTGTTTGGATGTTCTCATTGAGGTACATCAGTCAAAGTTTCTTTCTGTCTCTTTCCTTATTACTGTTATTTATTCACGTTAAATAGAATTCATCATCGTCATCAAGGGGCTAACACTGACAAGGGCGCATGGCTGTATCCACCCTTTGCTTCCAGCCACGAGGGTCCCTCATGGCGAGTCTCCAGGTCGTGACAGGTCTCATTGAGCTGCCCAAGCCATGACCTAGGTTGTCCCACGGGCCTCCTCCACCCAGGAGCTTGGTTCTTCTGCATAGTTACCGACATCTCCAAATGCTCTTGTTGATGGAGTTTATGGCTCCCGCTCTCAGTCCATCTGCTGACTTCTTGGTCTGACAGCCTAGAGATATGGCCTACCTTACCAAGGTATGCAAAGCTCTCTGTGACTTCAACATCCTCACCACAAGCATGGATCGACTGAATGGGTTTCCCTAACAGGACCCCAAAGTCCTGAATCTTGGTGTTGGTCTAAGAGACCTCTAGGCCCAGTGCCCTGACTTTGGATAGCACTGCCCATTACCCAGTCTGTCAAGTGTTGAGGAGTGATGGTGCAAGGACACAGCTTTGCCTCACCCCTGAATTAACAGGGAAGAAGTTTGAAAGGCCCCCCACCACACTTTACAGTACTTTCAGTATTGGTATATAGGCTTGCTATTAGGCCAATAATCTGCGTCAGAATTCCCCTAAGTCTCAGAATCTCCCATAGTGATTCTCGATTCTCAAGTGAATCCAGACTGCTCTGGTCTCTGGTGTAGTAGGTGGTTGCGGATCCATTTCAGAAGAAGGTGGGTGAAAATCTTGTTTGGTAATTACTGAGTAGTGTAATGCCACAGTAGTTGTTACAGTCCCAATGATCCCCTGATGGGTGGGTCATGAATGGGTGGGTTTTGAAGTGGACCCGTAGGGTAGCCACTATCAGCTTATGGTCAGTGCCACAGAACTCAGCACTCCGGTAAACCTGCAATTCTGAAGGATCCTTCATCAAGTGCTGACGAGAATCTGGTTGATCTCCTTGGCCACAGTACCCATATCGCTATACCATATCCAGTGATGTGGGTTGGAGTGCTGATACTAGGAGGCAGAAATCCTCAGTTTCTGGAACCTAGCAAAGGGCCGACAGACATCTCTTAGCCATCTTGATCACAGCTTGATACTGCATTGAAGTCACCCAGAACAATGCAAATATCTCGCTGGGGACAATTGTCTGCCACAGATGTGGAGTACATAGCAATATGAGACACTAAGCCAAAAGTATGCTTCGGTCTCAATGCCATAATACGCTCATCAACCAGTGTTACCTCAACTACTGAGGGTTGAAGTCTGCTGGAGATGGCTATGGCTACTCCTTGGGGCCACAGCAACTCCCAACCACTCCAATTCCTGAGGTTAAGCCTCGGCCGGTCACTCAAGGTGGACACCATCTCTACTACCCCCATCGATGTTGCCCCAAATAAAAAGGGTTGGTAGGCTTTTGGGCCCAGTGTCTGCCTGTGGGGTTCTCTTGGGCTTTGCCCCACAGGCCTCATGCTGGGTTGGTGCCTGTGAGGGTGCAGGTGGGATGAATAACTCATGTTCCTATCCTGCGTCCAATATTTTCCCTCCCAATGGGACCCACCACACTGGTGGGCCATGACTCCATACCTCTAGGGCCTACTACTGCTCCGAGATCCCCCAATGTTCAGCCTGGGACCGCAAGGTGCTCAGTTTCCATGGGTGGCAATGAGGAGGCACTGTAGAAATCTCAACGATGGAGAGGAGGCTTGTACAGAGCTGCTCCCTTTTACGCACTAGGCTCGCCAGCAGTGGCAGCTGCAAGCAAGAAGGCATGTGAGCACTTAACACTCTCTAGGCTACTACGCCATCACTTCACATCACCCTGAGCATGAAGCACCCACCCATAAATAGCATTGCCTTCCACATTACTGGAGTTCTTTGTAAATCTGGGGAATAAGCAGTTGTACACAATATAGTGTGTTGTGAAACAGTATTAGAATATTTTGAGTGATGTGTTGTAACTTATTTTAAATTGAGTGACTGTTATTTATTTCCGGCTGGCATGCCTCAGATGGCACAAAGTTTTGTAATTTTCCTGTGTACATATATAACTGTCTCTCCCATTTTATTGTGAATCTCTAATTGTAATAATGATGACCACCATTTGCATTTATTACTGTATTTCTTTTTTCTTTTATTTGGAGTCTGATTGATATATATTATATATTATATGATTGTATGATATCTTTCATCATAGAGTTGCTTGCACAGATCTCTTCGCTAGCTTGTGATGGACACTTGACTTACATTGTTGTGGTTTAAAGGCAGCAGTTAAGGAGGTTGTGCTTGCTGTGTTGTGTCTCCCTCTTTATTCCAGTGGTGAAATGGTACAACATAGATTGTGGAGAAGAAAAAAGAAAAAATCTGGTTTATTCATAGTAAGAAGAAAATTGTATGAGTATTAGATGAGAAACACAAGTTGTTGTGTTGTCACTGCAGATCTTGAGTGGAATTTCAGTTTCAAGGTGAAAAAAACGTTGAAGGATTTGAAAGCCTCGCCAAATTAGATCTGTCAAGTCCAATATTTTCATATCAGAGGCTATGAAAGGAGTCTCACACTTATGATATTGTGCTTCTACTATATAAGGAAATTGCCTGGAAGAATTGAGAGACTCACAGGCTGTAATGTCTGAAGTCCTTGGTTGCTGGTGAAGACTTGTTTAGTGATCGTTTGTTGTACATTCCAAGGGCATTATGGTGCATTTCTCATTGGATCATTCGGTGGTTTGATTTTCCTTTTTTTTTCTTGTATGTTGCTTTTCCATAGTGTTAGATTCTTCTAGTGTTTTATGATATTAGCTCAAGAGGTGCAGAAGTGGTTTAGTTTTCATTCCCAAATAGAATAGTTTAGATTATGCTTATAGATATGTATATACATATATATCATTGTTTAACATGTGGTCCAATACCAAGAAAGTTTTAGTTTTAAATTAGTGAAATGGCACATATTACCTAACCTATTTTCTTTGGTGAACAAGAAGTAATTTTGAGGATAGTTACTTTCATTGCTTTCTAATCCAGCAACTATTTGTTCCTGGAAACTATTAGGTGAAATGATACTTGTGTTTTTCTGTACTGAGAGTTAAGCTGTGATTTTTTTATCCTGTGAGTTTTAGTTACAGTTTCTAGATAAGGTCATAGGTAGATATTTATATATTTGCTAAAGTAACTGCATTTGTCATACAAATGAAGTTCCCTTAAACATAAATTTAGCTTGTAC